GGTGGTTATTTCTATCAGATTTTTCCCCTTTTTGCTTATCTGTATTTTCATAATTTTCCTTTGATGTATATTTATTATCTTTGAAATAAGGAAAAAGAAGCATGTTCAAAAAGCAGCACAATGTGGGCGCCTGGGTGGCTCAGTTGGTTGAGCGACTGCCTTCGGCTCAGGTCATGATCCTGGAGTCCCAGGATCGAGTCCCGCATCGGGCTCCCTGCTCAGCAGGGAGTCTGCTTCTCCCTCTGACCCTCTTCCCTCTCGTGCTCTCTATCTCTCATTCTCTCTCTCTCAAATAAATAAATAAAATCTTAAAAAAAAAGCAGCACAATGGGCTACATGCTACATCAGAAGTGTGCACAATATTCTAAGGAAGAAACTAACTTGTCTGGGGAACTCGAAGAAAACCTTGCAGCATGTATCTTTCCAGTCTTATATTCATATGTGTCTCTCACATGACAACATAATGCAATGCATGGCCTTGTTTAGATCTTGGTCCAAGCAAACCAACTGTCAAAATACTTGTAAGGCAAGTGGGGGAAGTTTGAATTCTGACTAGCTATTTGATGACACTAAGGCAGTATTATTATTATGATGTATGCTAAAGATATTACAGTAATGTTAGGAAAAAAGAATCCTTATCTCTTAGGTAAACATACTGACATAATTATGGATGAAATGATATGAAGCCTGGGATTTTTACAGGTAAATAATCTATTGGGGTGCAAAGTGTTTGCGAATATAAAATAAAAAGAGTAGTCATGAGTTAATGACCATTAAAGTTGGGTAATGTTGTAGTGATCCGAAGGGGTACGTGCACCCCAAAGTTTATAGCAGCGATGTTCACAATAGCCAAACTATGGAAAGAGCCAAGATGTCCACCAACAGTTGAATGGATAAAGAAGATGTGGGGGGCGCCTGGGTGGCTCAGTCATTAAGTGTCTGCCTTCGGCTCAGGTCATAATCTCGGGGTCCTGGGATCGAGCCCTGCATCGGGCTTCCTGCTCTGTGGGAAGCCTGCTTCTCCCTCTCCCACTCTCCCTGCTGTGTTCCCCCTCTCGCTGTGTCTCTCTCTGTCAAATAAATAAATAAATAAAATCTTTTAAAAAAAAAGATGTGGTATATATATATATATATATATATATATATACCATATATATATATACCATATATATATATATATATATATATAATGGAATATTATGCAGCCATCGAAAAACCCCAAAATCTTGCCATTTGCAATGATGTGGATGGAACTAGAGGGTATTGTGCTAAACAAAATAAGTGAATCAGGGAAAGACAAGTATCATATGATCTCGCTGATATGAGGAATTTGAGAAACAAGACAGAGGATCATAGGGGAAAGGAGGAAAAAATGAAACAAGATGAAACCAGAGAGGGAGACAAACCATAAGAGACTCTTAATTTCAGGAAACAAACTGAGGGTTGCTGGAGTGATGGGGGGGTGGAAGGGATGCGGGGTCTGGGTGATGGACATTGGAGAGGGTATGTGCTATGGTGAGTGCTATGAATTGTGTAAGACTGATGAATCACAGACCTGTACCTCTGAAACAAATAACACATTATATGTTAAAAAAAAAAAAAAGAAGATAGTAGGAAGGGAAAAATGAAGGGGGTAGAATCGGAGGGCGACACAAACCAGGAGAGACTACGGACTCTGAGAAACAAACTGAGGGTTTTAGTGGGATAATAGCTAGATGGCTTAGCCTAGTGATGGGTATTAAGGAGGGCACGTATTGCATGGAGCACTGGGTGTTATACACAAACAATGAATCATGGAACATTACATCAAAAACTAATGATGTGGGGCGCCTGGGTGGCTCAGGCGTTATACGTCTGCCTTCGGCTCAGGTCATGATCCCAGGGTCCTGGAATCGAGCCCCACATCGGGCTCTCTGCTCGGCGGGAAGCCTGCCTCTCCCTCTCCCACTCCCCCTGCTTGTGTTCCCTCTCTCTCTGTGTCTCTCTCTGTCAAATAAATAAATAAAATCTTTAAAAAAAAAACTAATGATGTAATGTATGGTGACTAACGTAACATAATAAAATAAAATTAATAAAGTTGGGTAATGAATACATGGGCGTTAATTTCAGTATCTTCTCTACTTTTGTGCTTGTTTGAAATTTCCTATCATAAAATATGCAGTAATTAATATAATGATTTTTCAATAATGAATAAAAACATCCTTTAAATATCTCTATCTTCAAGACTCAGCTCAAAAGACATCTTCTACACCAGTGAATGAGAGTGTGACAATCAATCCATGGGTGTGTTCACCTATACACAAGAAGCAATGACAAAATACCTGTACATTGTATGTTGTCTATTTTATGATCATCTGATCTGTGTCAATGACACTTGTAATCTCAACATGTATTTTTGACACTAGTCAATGTTTATAGTGTACATATACACAATAATCAAATATTTAATCTTTTTATTATTAAGAAAAAAGATATCTTCTCTTTGAAACCTTGCCTGATCACTCATTCCATTATTCGCACCCAACCTGAGCTCTGCACATAAAAGAGAAGACCCATAACATAACACACTTTTGTGTTTATTTGTTCACTTATATTTAAATGAGATCACTGGACATGAAAACTACTCAGTAAATAGTTGTGTTTATTGTTGTTATAATCACAGTCCTTTCTCTTTATTAGGCTATAAGACTAGCAGTGGCCATCTTATCTTTGTATACCCAGCAATTATCTCAATACCTGCTACATTTCAAGTGCTTGATAAACGTCTGCTAAATGAATAAATGAAACTTAGGATCACTCCATTCAGACCTACACTGTGTCCAGCAGAAACATCCTTAAGACTGAGGAATGTAAATTAATTCATGCCTTGCAGTTTACTCAGTGTTCCACAGCGCATTTGATCAGAAACATAACGTGTTCTTAGATTCGGTGTCCATTTAACATAGTCACTTGGAGTCCAAATGGCAGAGGAAGGTCAAATACCTTTTTTAAAAAAATTTTTGGCAAGCAATGCAATGTGCTCAGTAGCCATCCCTTACCTTCATTCTAGCCTGAGCCTCTCTCAACTGCAAACATATATGGAGCAGAGAGGTGAGTCAGAAACAGGTAAAATAAAAGAGTGAGGCTGAATGGGTGAAGGGGAATGGGAGGTACAGGCTTCTTGTTATGAAATGAGTAAGTCACTAGGATGAAAAGCAGAGCATAGGGAATATAATCAATGGTATTGTGATAGTGTTATATGGTGACAAATGGTAACTACACTTGTGGTGAGAATGGCATAATGTATAGAGCTGTCAGATTACTATGTTGTACACCTGAAACTAATGTTACATTATGTGTCAACTGTATTTCAATAAAAAAATAGGGGAAAATGATTTTTAAAAATAGTGTGAGACAGAGGAATCAGGTAAGTGAGTATCAGTATTGGCAAATGGCTATTTCATATAATATTCGATAATGTTTCTTAAGTGCTGAAAACATTTCATGACTTATTTTTTTAGGCTGTGTCAAATTATTCTTGGCATCAAAATGACTTGATCAAAATATGTACCATTTGATCCCCACAATAACATTATGAGGTAAACAGAGCCCATCATCTCTGTTTTAAAGAAGAGGAACCTAAGGAAATTTACCCTTCACTCAGCTGGGATCTTAAATTGTACCAATTTTTTAAATGCAGTATACTAGTATACTGGGATAATAATGCTATGTTATCACTGCCAAGAAACAACTATTTGTTTTGAAATAGCTGTTAGATTGAGAGTACTCTTCAGGTTCATAAGAGAAGTATTTGAGTGACTTCCAAACTCAAAAACCTTCAGAACAAGGGAGATTTGTTTGTTAGCTTGTTTGTTTGTTTGTTTTTAGGTATTTGAATGACTAACTTGCTCCTTGAAAAGCAAGGGAGCAGAAATCAAAGGCCTGATTGTGCTGAATCCTTCTATTTGGTCATTATTCAGATTGGTTCCCAGAATGCCACAGTCCAAAGGAAAGATTCCAAGCTCTGTTTAAAAACCAGAAACTAAAGAGCCTACTCAACATCCTGCTCACATTACTGGTGCTTGTATTCATCATTTAAAAGTCTTTTGATAACTCCTTTTATGCAATAATGTTAGGCTTCGGGGAATATTCTCAGAACATAGGAAGCTCCTCCTGACCTAGTTATGATGTAAATGCTTTTTGTGACTATCCCCTCTCTTCAAAGACCTCTGAACAGCCAGGCCCTTAGGCATAATTGAACCCCGGGGAAGAATTTTACCGGAATGCAGGTTTGTTTGTTTTGTGGTGCTGGTGGTGATGAAGAGGGAGCTTTCCCCTTAGTTGGGAAGGGGGAATTTTACAATGAAACTGGCCCTTGATGCTTACTTACCCCAGACTGATGAGGACATCCATGCTTGGGGGAACAGGTAATAATTTTTTAGTTCTGCTCCAGTATCTAGGAGAGTGAGAATGTGTAGTAGCAATCTACTTGAAAGAACGTTCCTTGAATTTCCCAATTCAAAAGACTGCATAGAGCTAAGACAGAAATAAGAGCACTGAGGGACGAGGGACGTTTTATATGTCAACCCAAATCACAAAGGCAGGACTTTTCTAAGGATGTAAGAATTATATCTACCTTTTGGGTACAGGGGGTGAAGTGAAAAGAAGGGATTCTGGAGCAGATATCTCAGAACTATCCCAAAACAGAAACCTTCACACAAGGTTATCCAGCTCTCCTTAACAGGTGCAAGGGCAGGGAAGGCATTTGGTCCTTGAGGTAACGTTTGGTTGGGAAGTTACGACAATGACGTCCACGTTTACAGCAATCCAGGTGACCCTGAGCGGAGGAGCACCCGTAGGACTGCGGCACAGAAAATACGCTAGCCTGCCAGTCGCCCCTCCCCCCTTGCATTCTCGGGGGATTGGAGTAGCATCGGAGTCGCTGACGCCATCCCTTCCCGCCTCTGGCTCTCAGGGAGCATGCGCTTCCTTCCTCACTTCCTCTCAAGGAGGGAGAGAGAGTAAGGCTACGCCCTAGCCGACCCGAGGCCGGCTTCGCGTCACAGGAACTTCAGCACCCACGGGGCGGACAGCGCTCTCCACCTGAAGACCTGACTTCCGAGCGCCCGGAGCCTTTCTAATCCCTTTACTGGGTAGCCGCGCGGAGCTCCACCGGCCGCTGGATCCCTGCCACTCTCCCTCCCCTCACCCGCCCTCCTAGCTCTTCCTGTTTTTACTCCTCCTTTTCATTCATAACAAAAGCCACAGCTTTGGGAGCCCGGCGCCGGGCTGTTTCTGAAGCCAAGCGTGGAAGAATGGGGTTCCTTTGGACCGGCACTTGGATTCTGGTGTTGGTGCTCCAAAGCAGCCCAATTCAAGCTTTCCCCAAGCCGGGAGGCAGTCAAGGTACGTGGGCACTTTTCTTCCCACCTCCCTTTTATTTCGCCACGAAGAGGTAAAGCTTGGCAGAATCCCTTGAACTGTAAATCACCTTGCCTCTTTTCTGATCAGGTCGTATCCGTGCTTATTGACAGAGAAATCAGTTCGAATTTAGAGACAGGAAGACAGATTTTTCCCCCCACACTTTTTGAATGATAGAGCAATAACATGGGTTGTTTTGAAATATCTTATTTTGAAACTGGCGAAGGGGGTGATTTTCCTCCTTAAAAAGTGGCATTTTTTTTTCTAGTTGTCTTACAACCGTTCTCAGATATTTTATTCTTAATATGTGCAGCAGATGATAAAAGAACTTTTAATGTGCCAGTAATGCTTATCCAAATTATGCTCTATCTAGCTGGAAACAGCTGGTAAGAGAAGTGTTGGAACTAAATGTTAGATTTCTGGGCAGAAAAATAAAAGTGTGATTCTATTAACTCAGGAAGTACACCAGGATAATAAGCAAAGAGACGTTGATAATCATTGTTATTGTATAATCTTGATTATCTTTGTTAATACATATTTTTGATTCACAGACACCCAAAAAAATTTCTCCTAATATTTGTTTTTCTTTTTTGGAGATTTTATGTAGTAAGAGACATATTGTGTCTTTCCACTGCATAATTAAATTTATATTTGTGTTTGGTTATTCTAGACAAACCCCTACATAATAGAGAATTAAGTGCAGAAAGACCTTTGAATGAACAGGTAGGTCAAAAGTAAAATTATAAATGCTATTTCATTTTACTTTAGTTATTATATTTAATGTAATTATGCTGTGACATTTTAGCCATTTTGAATTCACAAACTTCAGGAGCTTAATAATAAATTGACAGAAATTAGGATGGAAAATATAGTTTGGGAAATTGTATGTCTTAACAGTTATATACATAGAATTCTGTATAATACACAGAAATGACTCTATAATAGCCCAGTAAGCCCAACATCACATCCACTCTATTTTAAGACTGCTTAATTTATCAGATTTATCTTTCACCAATATTACAGGAGAAGGGAATTAATATTTGTAGACCATCTGCCCTTTATTTTATCTCATTTAATCTTTATGGCAATGCTTTGAAATAGAAATTATTATCTACATTTTACAAATAAGAAAACTAAATCCCACAGAGATGAAATCATTTAGCTGTCATATTTGGTAAGTGGTGGAACAATGATTTAAAAGCAGGTCTATCTCCGATTTACTTCCCAGATTGCTGAGGCAGAAGCAGACAAGATTAAAAAAACATACCCTCCAGGTAAAAAGAAATTATGTTGATATAATTTTTTTAAAAACGGTTATGAAAATCTTAAGTAAAATAGATGTGTTGGGCTTGGGGGCTTTTCTTCCAGAAAACAAGCCAGGTGAAAGCAATTATTCCTTTGTTGATAACTTGAACCTGCTAAAGGCAATAACAGAAAAGGAAAAAATTGAGAAAGAAAGACAATCCATTAGAAGCTCCCCACATGATAATAAATTGAATGTGGAAGATGTTGATTCAACCAAGAATCGAAGACTGATTGATGATTATGATTCTACTAAGAGTGGACTGAATCATAAATTTCAAGGTAAATGAGGAAAAAGAACTTTTGCTTCCTATTTTCTCTAACTTGGAGTCTCCGCATTGTGGGTTAAGAGAAAGTCCTATGTTTTAAAAAGAGCCTTTGTATATTCTTGGTCCTTTATTAGTCAGGACCAAAATTAAGACAAAGCCCAAATATTTCTGTGAGGGCTCAGCTTCACAGAAGCCCAGATTTTATTTTCTCATTTTAAGGTTCCTTTACTGATGCTTTGAAAACAATTTAAATCTGCTATCTATATTTTATGTGATTGAATTCATTTTAACATTCCAATTTTTTTAACTATTAGTACAAAGAAACTATCATAATTCTCAAGTAATTAAATCAATAAAATACTCCTCACAAAAGCTGAAGTATCCATTACTTTCTTTTCAGTATTCATTTCCTAGTCATATCTGTCTCCGTGGGTCATTCTAACCTTTCCATGACTCTTTAATTACCATCTATAGCCTGATGTCTTATAACACTAGCCCACACTTCTCCTTCTCTGAAATATATATATATTACCTATACATAAAATAGTTTTTTTCTCTATCCTTGATCACCACCATCCTTGTCCAAATTCTAATCATGTCTCACTTGAACTACAGCAAGATCTCCTAATGAATCTTCCAGCACCCACTCTGCCCTTTTCCAACTCAGAGCAGCCAGAGTGATCTTTTCAACACACAAGTATGAACTTGTCACTCTTGCATAAAACCCATTAGTAGATTCTTATTTCTCTCAGGATAAAAACCCAAATCTTTAATGTGGCTTCCGTAGTCCTGGAAGGACAGATTCCTGTGTTCATCCAGCACACATGATCTGATAGAAACCTGTTCCTTTCACTCATGATACTTAATGTAATTTGTAATTTTACATTCCTAAGTGTGACTACTTATGATTTATGTCTTTCTCCTTAACTAACCTGAAAACTTCACTAGAACAGAAACAGTGTACACCCAGTGTCTGAATGCTTATGAATTCACTGCATGAATAGATGGATAAAGGAATGAATGAGCAAATAAAATAATACACCAGGGAATAAATGAACTATTGTATATGAGCATTGAGGAGGAGAGTGTGTTTTCTGTGCTGAGAACCACTGCTTAAGAGTGACTACAAATTTTCTTTAATTTGCTTATTCTGCTCCGTGGCCACAAGAGAATTAGGCTGGTCATCTCTGCCAGAAAACAACTACCGATTAAATATGACTTTCATTGGATATCACAGCCTGAGGAAAATTAAGAAGTGTGTTGTATATGAATGGGGTAGGGGAGACGGTTTATATTTTGAAATATTTCATATTGTATACTACTCATAGAAATGTGTTTCTCTTGAATTCTACTTTTTAACCTAAAATATTTGGACTAGAAATAGATAGGCACTGGGGGGCGCCTGGGTGGCTCAGATGGTTAAGCGTCTGCCTTTGGCTCAGGTCATGATCCCAAGGTCCCGGGATCGAGTACCACATCGGGCTCCCTGCTCCTTGGGAGCCTGCTTCTCCCTCTGCTTCTCTCTCTCTCTCTCTCCCTCTGTCTCTCATGAATAAATAAATAAAATCTTTAAAAAAAATAGAAATAGATAGGCACTGGGTATAGGGGCATACAAAACAATTTCAACTACTTTGACTGAACCGACCATTTGATTTAATAAAATTTTAAAAAATAGTCTAATGTTTGTTTGGTTACATTTTTTTTTTTTTTGGTCAAACTGGTTGTATGTACAGGTAGAGGCATAGATCTGTTTGTGATCTGACCACTAACCTGAGTAACTTATTTTTAAATTGTTCAATGCTTTATTACCATCCCAAATGGGTTCAGAACTATCAAGTCCTAGCCCTGATGGCTCTAGGCTTACCCTAGGAGTCATTTCAAGTCCACTTGAGACTACAGAGAAGACTTTTGGAGAGAATGGTCTCCGAGTGAATTACTGGTCTCCTCTCATACCTTGGAAATTCTGGAACCAGGTGGGTTTGGGACCACCAAGTTAACTGGAACCTCAGAGGCAGGCTGACTTACACCCTAGAAGGGAGAGTGAAGGAGCAAAACTTCTGCAGGGTACTTTTACACATTTAGGAAACCTCCAGATGGTCTTGTAGGGCCCATCAGGTCTCCTTTCCTGTGTTTTCTACAGTATAGGTGATTCAGGATTTTTCCAAGTGTCTTTTATGAAGTAGTGCTTTGGGGCTCCTGTGTGCATTCACCAAACAAAAATTCATTGAACAATTACTATGTTTCAGACTATGAACTAGACAATAAGCTCTGTGTAGTTAAGTATCACACCTAAACTATTTATCAGTCTGTTTCCTGTTCTGGCCCAGATTAAGACTTCAATAAAAAATGTTTTGGACGAATGAATGTCAGGTGCCATAAATAGATGCCAAGGACTTAAAAAATAACTGGGAAGATTGTGACTTGGAAGATGGTCCTTTTACATCCACTTACAATGTTGTAGTTGCTTTAAAAAAGTTATGGATGTTGAACTCATGTTTGGTTTCCCTCTGAGGGTATATATAAGAGGGTAAAATACGCTTTTGTGAGCAGTACAGAAGTCACTGAGTAATTCTGTCCATTTTAGAGAAGCCAGGGAAAATCAGTGGAAGGTAAAGAGCAATGCCCAAGGGGTCAACTATTAACCCCATCTAGCAAAGGTCTGCTAGGGGAGGCCTGAACTCCTGGCTCAAGAGAATGCAGCAGTGCAGCAGAACAAAAAGGCTGTTTCTTCCAAGTGTTGCTTATGTTCTCCCTGTTATGAAGTAAATGAACTGAAAAACAGTCATCTCAGTTATTTTCCAGCACCAGCAGGCAATCAGTACTCTTCCTTTTCTTCAGATCCTGAGGGATTAAGTGGGAAGGGAAATAAATTTTTCCACCTCTGCATAGACCTTAGGTAGTTTCTGCTCCACATATACCCGAGAGTCTGTCTTGCAACCCACAAATGGAAGACTCAGACCTAAATAACAGTTGAGTCTCTGCTCCTGAAAACAATGGATGAGGAACCCAATTTTCAGTCAGTCAGGAGGAGAACTGGTTTTATGGGTTTTTTTTCCTCTTAGGGAGTTTTCTGTTTATTAGTCACTATGATACACAGGGCTCAAAGGGCTCATAGCTAATGGATTGGTCGACAGCTCAGCAATAATATATTATCAGGAAGCTTCTAGTCCTCCATGTATAATCACCCTATTCAGTTTCCTAAGCTTCTTTTCAAACAACAAGAAAATGTTCTGCCTAAGGCAGCATGTATCTTCAGCTGTATAGATTCTGGAAGAAAGGTTGTGAGAGAAATTTCTTGTGTGAATTCTCAAAGTCATGGAAGAAAAGGACAATAAAAATAGAAGTACAAGGCTCTTCTTTCTTTGAGTCAATATGTTCAGAATTATTTAGGCAGAATTTGACCAGAGACTCAATTTCCATTTTCTCTAGAAGATAACCGCAGTTGGTACAAATCCACTATATATAATAATTTTTTAGTTTTCATATAATACTGCACATTAGCTTTCATATAGTAATTTGCAACTTAAAAGATGCATTTACATCTTATTCCATCTGAGCTTCATAATAATCCCACGAAACAGATAATCCTATTATCTCCCTTTACAGTGGTCTAAGGATTTAGAGATAACTAAGAGGCAACAGGGGCTAAAATTCTGATCTTTCCAATCTGCCTTGTAAATTTGCACATATTAATATATTGCTTGATGTGGTGTAGGTTAGAAAAGACCAGCTGGTTCCTGAGAGTTGTCTTGGACATGGTGCAATGCTTCTTTGTCACCAACCCTCCTGGGCCTTTCCTTCCCGATGGGCTCTTGCTTTACTTTAAAGTAGTGCTGCCAAATGTATTCCCAGGAAAGCCAAGGATACATATTTGCAAGCATCTCTGCAGAGATTTACATAGATTTACATATTGCTTTGTAAAAATCTGTTGTCTCGTTTTAAAAAGTTTAAATTTCAGACACATAAAATAAGTTCCCTATTCTCTAGAGAAAGGGGCTTATCATATTAAGCTGTCTTCCGTAAAGGAGTTTTGATACACGTTCAGTTAGAAGTAAATATTTATTCCAGATAAATCATAAAATCTTCAGTACACCCTCTCTGATTCTGGGTGTAAGGCAGGTTCCCCACTCAGCCCAGGAATTTGCCAGCAGAAGAAGTACACATGCAGATATTATGAGTCTACTCCTTGTATGGAAATGGAATACCAAATTATGTTTGGACAATATGGCATATTACATAAATATGGCCCACTGTTAAATTTTAAAATACAACCTTGTTTGTATTATTAGTGAGAATAAAAAATGGAGAGGCCTTTTGTGTTGTCTTCAGATCTTCCTTTCTCTTACAATCACATAAGAAGCTTTCAGAATATCCATTACCATCTTAGCATCTCAGCTTGAAAGTAAAATTTCATTTCAAACCGAGGGCTTATGTGGACCAAGCAACACCATAAATGTATTCCAAACATATCTGAGTGTACAAGAGCAAGGTAAAGATTATAAATATAATATGACTCATGAAATAGGCCTCCAATAACTATGATGTGGAACTGTGATTACTCTGTCTAGATGATCCAGATGGCCTTCATCAACTAGATGGAACTCCTTTAACTGCTGAAGACATCGTCCAAAAGATTGCTACCAGGATTTATGAGGAAAATGACAGAGGAGTATTTGATAAGATTGTTTCTAAACTGCTGAATCTTGGCCTTGTAAGTCCTGCATGAGAATAAACCCATTTCTTAGTACAGTTTGGAATTTGCTAAGAATCCAAGTCACATGATCCAGTTGTAGCCAAATGTTTATAATACCTCTACTTTATATTAGGCACTGTAGGTTTTGAGGACAAATACGACAACATTCTTCTAGGAACTTATAGTCTACCAAAGGAACTACACAAATACACACATGCCCACAATGCAAAGCTGCATCAGAACCGTAAAAGCAGTTCAGCATGCCAGAGGATGAGTTATGTACAGTTTGGCAATAAGGAAGAGCTTCAGAGAAGGAGGTGTTTGAAGTCAGCTTAAAAGGATGGTTAGGATTTAATGAGCAGCAGTAAAAATACGTGCGTTGTGAGAAGAGAATAACAGGAGCAAAGACATACAACATTTGGGAAACTAAGCGATTTAATTGGATCATCCCTCAGCCTGGCTCCCAGCCCTTGTACAGCCCTATCAGGCTTTAGTAGGGAGATAAATTTGCCTGTTTCAGAGGTTTCCTGGCCATGACCTGTAGTGGAGGCTTGAGAAATAACCCTTTAGGGGCACCTGGGTGACTCGGTTGAGTGCCTGCCTTGGGCTCAGGTCATGATCCCAGTGTCCCAGGATCCAGCCTCACGTCAGGTTCCCAGACTGGCAGGGAGCCTGCTTCTCCCTCTCCCCACTGCTCGGGCTCTCTCTCTCTCTTTCTCTCTCTCTCAAATAAATAAATAAATAAATAAATAAAATCTTTAAAAAAGAGAGAGAGAAATAACCCTCAAGATATTTCTCAAAATAAGTGTTCCATGGATTCCAAAAGACAGGCCTGATTACCTGTACAGCCCAAAGGTACTTTTACCCAGGAATTCTGGGGCAGACACTAGAATGGCCAGCAACTAATAGAGGCATAAAAAAGGGTTATCTAGAAAGAGGGACCAAAAGATTCTCTCATCTTCTTAAAAATGTATTCAACTACAGAGTTTAGTCTAAATTTTTTAATCACAAGTATGAGAATACCAGTTATGTATGTTTTCACTCCTTATAACAGATCACAGAAAGCCAGGCGCACACACTAGAAGATGAAGTAGCAGAAGTTTTACAAAAATTGATCTCAAAGGAAGCCAACACTTATGAGGAGGAACCCAATAAACCGACAAGCGTGACTGAGAGTCAGGCTGGAAAAATACCAGAGAAAGTGGTATGTATGTGAGAATTCATATGCATGTTATGGGCGTGTGTATATGCATGTGCATGGGTATGTGTCTGTGTCTACTTGTATTTGTATATAATTAATGCAATCTGTATATAATTAATATCTTACTTGGTGCCAAAGAAGATTTGGAGTATGTGACATGTTTAACCCACTTAAAATTTATCCTCACAAAATACCAGTAAGTTAAAAGATATAAGCCAACTCTATGTTGAAAATGAAGATACAGGTTATATTATATTACACAGTAAGGGTTACATCTTAAACTTCACAGTAAATTAACCCATAATGTTAGGTGGAAATGTTATAACCATTCCACATACAACTGCTTGTATAATGTCAGTGGACTGGAACCAAATATTCCACAGCTCTTTCAGTATACAACTTCTGTTCACAGAAAGTCATCATCTGCCTCCAGAACCCAAAAAAAGAAACTCGGGTTGATTTGATCCTCTGCCACACCAGCCTGTGTTCCCCAGAGCTCGTCACCTGATACTGCCTCTCTGTTATATCCTGAGCTCTTCCACCTGCTCTTTCCTCTTCTCATTGGTTCAGAGGCCTGGAACCATCCTTTGCTAGTCATTCATCCGTCCTTCCCCTTCCTGGACTCTGTGCCTCTTCGTCTTTTCTTTGGCATTCATTCGCCAAGCTACTAAAATCTTTCTCCCCTCTGAATTCCCTGTAAAACTCTAGATGGAGCTGACCACAGAGGGATATAAGAAAATATCAGTCTCTCCACCTCTCCTATTTTCTCCACCAGAGCATCCAGACCCCATGGCTCCTCACCCCTCCAACATTGTATCCCAAATACTAGGAAAAAGAGTGTATTGGCCTATTGTTCTGTTTTAGAAGAGGCTAGAAAACAGAAACTGGGACTGCATTTTTCTTTTCCAAGATAGCATAACAGCTCCCCTTTGGTCTCCCTACTTCCCACCACCACCAGTTTTCATTTTTTTAAACAGATTTTAAAGATCCACCCAAAACATTCTTGATTTATCAAAGAACTCATGAATTCACTCAAGCTAACCATCTGAACTGAAAGTGGCATAGCTACTGTATTTTCCTGATCTTTCACTCCCATTTTGCACTCCTTATTCACCCATCTCGAAAACATCCATATGCTTGACCTGTTCACTCATGTCATCTAAATGCATTAATGCAAATGAAATGTTCATTCAGTACATATTTATTGAGGTGCCAATTGTGAACCAAGCACTGGGGATGTAATGCTCATCTAAAAAGATAGAATCCCTGCTCTCATGAAGGTCTAATGGAAGAAGTAGATGGTTTTCAAATAGTCACCTATTTTAACTACAACTGCCTTAAGTGCTCTGAGGAAAGAAACATGGTTCTATGAGACCTTGTTAAAAAGGAACCTGTTCTGGACTTAGGCCCAGGGAAGGCATCCCTGAGGAAGTGACTTGAGCCAAAACTGAAGGCTGAATAGGAGTTAACTTGTGAATATGAGAGGCAGTATGTAGAGAAGAATGTGTGGAGTATCCAAGTAGCTCCAACAAGGGCAGGGTGGCTGGCTCACAGAGAGAGAAATAAGAGATGAGCCTGAGGATGTGGACCCAGGGCAGACCAGGCAAGGCCTTAGGTTCTGATCTTTATTGTAGGACCAATGGGAAAACACTGGATGATTTTAAGCAAAGGTGTTACATGATCATATTTTTAAAAAGATAACTCTGGCTACAACACGGAAAATGCAGTGTTGGGAATAGACTAGAAGTAGTTGATGTACCAGTTAGAAGGTTAGAGATGAAAGTATCTGGACTAGAGCCAGGTAATGGAGAAAGAGAGAAATGTACAAATTTGGGACAGATTTTGAAAGTAGGGCCAACAAGGCTACTGATGAAGGAAATGAAGAGGAAGAGACAAGAAAGGCTCTTAAATTTCTGTCTAGTCCACTGAATGGACAATGGATCCAAACATCCATAACTAAGATGCAGAACACTAGAAATGGATCAGGTCTGGGAGAAAGAGTCCTGTGTACTTTTCCAGATAGTCCTTAAAATTTCACTGAGAAGTCCCCAAGGTGTGACTGTTCTGCTAGTGTTAGATATTCTGACAGGCTTTCCCATATCCTGTTGTCAATTTTATGACTTCAAAGCTCCCCTCCTTGGTGAAAGACATTTCTATGAGGAGACACTCATGAGAACTGACAGAGGGAAACTTGGCCAAGGAGGAACCTAGAAATTCCCTGTCTATTCTCCAGGAACAAGAGCCAGGGTCCTCAGGTGAAGCATATGTCTCTTAGCCCCAATGACCGTTCCATGCGGCTACATGCCCACATGCCTGGAAAAGGGTTTGATCCTGCAGGAGCTTGCAAAGGAGGAGGTATTCTTGCACTTCACATTCAAGGGCACCGCAGAGGAAAGAATCAAGCTGGAGCATAATTAGTTCTATCAAACTCTTAATTTTTTATTGATTTTTTTCTCCCAATGGAGACTCCAATGGCAGCAATTCAAGATGGTTTTACTAATGGACAAAATGATGAAACAGTATCTAATACCTTAACCTTGACAAATGGCTTGGAAAGGAGAACTAAAATCTACAATGAAGACAACTTTGAGGAACTCCAATATTTCCCAAACTTCTACGCACTACTGAAAAGTATTGATTCAGGTAAACACTGTTTTCTGACCATGTGGAATAGAAACAGTAATTCCAGGAAATATATGGGTGGAGTTTTTCTTCCTGTTTTCATTTTCTAAATGCAGTCTTCAATGACATATATTGTGGCCTCGGGGAAAAGAGTTCACGTCAATTTTTTCAAAAGAATACTAGTCATGAAAATATTTAGGAAAGGATAGTCAGGAAAGGTGGAGCTTCTGGATAATTTAATCTTCTTGTTAACAGAGCATTCATTTATTTGTTCAACAAATAGTTACTGGACATGTGTGGTGTTTGGGACATTGAGGTGAGCCCCGTGCAGATGAAGAGAGAAATCAATGTCCCTGTCTGACTTGCTCAGCCTCAAATCTTATTGCAAATCCTTTTTTTTTTAAAGGCTATATTCATTTTCCTCTCATAGTAGGAACAATGTGTATAACATAACTTATCCTTTTAAAAATAATTCAGGTTTTTGCTTTTTAGACATTTTCAGCTTCGGTCTTGAAATGAGTTCAAATGAACTAAACACTGGACCACAGCAGGTCAGGAGCCCAAAACACACTTGGAAAATGATTTGTTTTTTTAAAAACAAAGTCCTTGATGTGCCTTTTCTCTTACATGTACACCAAAATAGGTTAGCTGAAGATTTCAATTCATGTTTAGTTTTGATTAATCTTCAAGGAAGATTATAATGGGCAAATTTTCTTTTGTTGTTATTGTCCAGACAGATGCTCTGCCCTGCTTCATGGCTTTTCCTCTCCCTGTTCAAAGATTCAGCCCCAGACTGAACATTTGTAATAAATATTTCCCCAAGAAGTGACCTCAGAGTGAGCTTTCATTTCTAGGGAACATCCATTGTCCTTCAATTCCAGACATTGGCCAGATGGCACCAGCCCCTCTGCTGGTGTCTGCAGGGCTGGTACGTCTTGAGGGTCCATTCTCAGCCATCTTGCCCCATTGAATGGCAAATGCCCAGCTCAGAAACTTTGTCATCTTGGTGAGTCACTTCTTGTCAGGGAAGAACATCAGCAGGACACCAAATACCTACACAGATGTGATCTTGAACAAATAATGTGATGGCTGAAGTTATTTACAGGCGCTTTTCCAGGATCTCATCCCCATTTCCTCTCTCATCTTTCTTCTCTCCCAACTTTGGGACTTTCATGATATTTGAAAGATTCCACTGTATGGAATGTTTTTTATTTTATTTGTTTTTATCTTTCAGTTTCCTTGACCCTATTCTTAATTTCCTTTATTTTTATAGAATTTTAATTTAAATCCTTACACTAAGGTCTTTGACAATACCCATTTTTCTCACCCAAGGTCTGAACCAACTGAGAAATAATAAAACGGGTGGAAAACCAAAATATTTCTGATACTGATAAAGACTGGGTTGTAAGGGTTGTAGAATGCAGCTTGGTTTGAGATCCAACACTGGGCTTGCTCACTCCCTGTCCTCAGTCTAGTTCTTGGAACAGTCAATACCAAGGACTGTTGGATTCTACAGAGCTGGCGCTTGTCTCAGGTCCCTGCCTTCCACTGTTCCAGGGGAGCAAAAAGAAGAAAGAGTCCAAATCCCTCTCAGTTAAGAAATGAAGACTAATGGCCATTGCCTACCAACTTCATCTGTAGGAAGGATGCAACTGGGGGAGGAGGGAGGCTAGGAGTATTTAGAAGAAATCCTTAATGGTAGCTAAAAAGCTAAAAGAATAGGGAAAATGGGCTCTCTTCTAGCACCTTTCTTCAAAAATGGAAATAGATTTTTTTAAATTTTAGGATATATATACCGAATGTCTATAGAATCATTAGCCATCCTCTTCCATCAAGATGCAGAAGAATATGCCAATTATGAAGAGTTCCCAAGAAACTGTTTTTTTTTATTTATTTATTCAAGAGAGAGACAGAATGAGAGATAGCACAAGAGGGAAGAGGGTCAGAGGGAGAAGCAGACTCCCTGCTGAGCAGGGAGCCCGATGTGGGACTCGATCCCGGGACTCCAGGATCATGACCTGAGCCAAAGGCAGTTGCTTAACCAACTGAGCCACCCAGGCACCCGAAACTGTTTTTTTTTTTTTTTTGAAGACTTTATTTATTTATCTGACAGAGACATAGCAAGAGAGGGAACACAAGCAGGGAGAGCGGCAGAGGGAGAGGGAGAAGCAGGCTTCCCACCGAGCAGGGAGCCTGATGTGGGGCTCAATCCCAGGACCCTGGGATCATGACCTGAGCCGAAGGCAGACACGTAACGACTGAGCCACCCAGGCAGCCTGCAAGAAACTGTTAATAGTGGTTACCTATATGGAGTAGGAGTTGAGGGGTAGGAGAAAAATGTTATTTTCACTATTATTTACTTCTGCACTGTTGGAATATTTTTACTATATGCATATATTCTTTCAAATAAAAAAAGTTTAGAAAGCAATATATACTACTATTAAAAATCAACCTTATGTTATAAAAAATAAAGATACATGTGTGTTTTTATTTTCAAATATTAAGTTTGATTAGTGAAAACCAGTCATTGTTGCCCTCAAAAACATACAGCTTAGTAAAGAAAAATTTTTCGCTCACAAATCTTCTAACTTTCTTTTTGAGTTCGTATTACCTCAGGTTGCAAACTGTCTCTTTATCATCTAATCTATTAATAAAATATTTTAGATTAAATCTTTTTGCAGAAGTTATAATTGCCCATTTCTGGAAAAGTTCAGTATACCTGTACATTATCCTATATTCTGAATCAAGTCTTAGGCTTTCTGTAAATTAAATATATGTGGTTTCAGCTATAAATGTAGGGAGAAATATTTCAGTAAGATGCCTACTTCATAAACTGACACTGAAAGAGGAAGTTATACTCCACTAGTTTTTTTTAAAAATTATTTTGTCCTTTTGTATAGAAAAAGAGGCAAAAGAGAAAGAAACACTGATTACTATCATGAAAACGTTGATTGACTTTGTGAAGATGATGGTAAAGTATGGCACAATATCTCCAGAAGAAGGCGTTTCCTACCTTGGTGAGAGTCCTATCTGTTTTGTTTTTACTGTAATAGTTTTCATTGTCCAAAGTGAATAAGGGATTTGGCAATAATTATCTCACAAATTTGATCATTTATGCCAAAATAGCCTGAAGCATTTGAGTAACGAATTGACCAGCTTGATAATGCATATAAATAAAATTAACCAGAAGTTTTCAACTCTTTATAGATACAGCTTGAGTACAAACATTTCATTATTACATTTTGTCTTATTAACATTTTCTAAATATCTCCATGGAGACAATTTTATTAAAATTTGACCCCCCCCCCTTTTTTTCCAGTTGTGTTTGGGTGGTCAGGACTGAAAGAGTTGATTTTTTTTTCCTCTGTTTAATTTTTTATTGTTATGTTAATCACCATATATTACATCATTAGTTTTTGGTGCAGTGTTCCATGATTCATTGTTTGTTCATAACACCCAGTGCTCCATGCAGAACGTGCCCTCCTCAATACCCATCACCAGGATAACCCATCCCCCTCCCCCCCTCCCCTCTAGAACCCTCAGTTTGTTTCTCAGAGTCCATCATCTCTCATGGTTCGTCTCCCCCTTGAAAGAGTTGATTTTAACCAGTGAGGTCTGTGTGTGGTGGGAAGGAGACAGCCCTGGACTGAGCAGCAGAAAGTGATACCCCCTGATCCAGGTTGGCCACAGACAACTCCGTCCCACGGGGGAAGGCACTCACCTTGCTTGGCCTTAATCTCGGCATCTCTAAAATAAAGGACTTTGTGATCAATGGTGGGGCTGACAAACTACTGCCCATGGACCATATCTGGCCCATTGCCCATTTTTGTATAGCATATAAGCTAAGAATTGCTTTTACATTTTTAAATGGTTGAAAGAAATCGAAAGGAGAATCGTATTTTGTGACAGAAGAAAAGTATGTAAAATTCACATGGCAGTGTCCATACATGAAGTCTTATTGGCACAGCCGCACCCATTTCCTTCCTGCTGTCTGTGGCTGATTTTGTGCTACATTGGCAGAGTTGAGTAGTTGCAACACAGACCACAGATGGTCCACAAAGTATTTACTATCTGGCCCTTTACTGAAAAAGTTCGCAGACCTTTGACTCCTTGAACTTTGTAGATAAGCTTGAACATTCTCTCTGCATGCAGGTTGTTTAAAAAAGAAAAAAACAGCCTTTGGTTTTTCTGCTTGATTTAGTTAATCAACAAATAGCATTTATCCCTGATGTCCTTTGAGCAAGTTGACCTCATGGCCCCTTACTCTGATCTCTAACAGAGAAGGAAGAATTAGAAGAGAAAATCTCATAGCATAGAATAATCCAGAATTACTCTCTATGGATTCCATTTTTTTCCACATGAAAATAATTTTACTGTTTTTTTTTTTCTGATTACAAAAGAGCATATGTATTTTAAAAAATCAGTCAATGCAAAATGATGTTAAAAAAGAAGTAGAAAGGGATGCCTGGGTGGCTCAGTTGGCTAAGCGTCTGCATTCGGCTCAGGTCATGATCCCCAGGTCCTGGGATCGAGCACCACATCGGGCTCCCTGCTCAGCGGGGAGCCTGCTTCTCCCTCTGCCTACTGCTCTACCTGCTTGTGCTCTCTCTCTCTCTCTCTGTCAAATAAATGAATGAAATCTTTAAAAAAAAAAAAAAAAAAAGAAGAATTAAAAAAAATCACTCATAATACTGGCACCCAGGTGATATTCTGGTTTATATCCTTCCAGATGTTTGTGTATATGTGTGTGTGTATACACACACACACACACACATATATATACCTTGGTTGTTTCTTTGTTTTACCTTGTTTAACAAAAAATGGGCTCACATTATACATAATGCTTTGTGGCCTACTTTACTCAATAGTAGATCAAAGGCATCGTTTCAGATCAATCACTGTTTCATACCAATACCCTGATTCAAAAGTCCACACTTAAGTCATTTATCCAATGGAACTAGATTAGAAATGCCACAAGGTGCAAGGTGCAAGGTAGGTATTTCCACGACTGTTCATAGCTGTGCTATCCAGTATAGTAGTGGAAAGGGAATTCATTGCCTCATGTAACTGAGGAGTCCAGGAGCAGGGGTAGTCTGATGTTGGTTAGGTTTGTAAAGTCCACCAGTAGTCCCAGCACTGACTTTCCATGTGTTGATTCATTCCAGATAAGCTGCTCCATTATGGGAAAAAGATGGCTGGCAATCTCCATCCTCACATTACAGCAATCCTAGCAGGAAAAGATCCTCTTTCCCCAGTGGCCCTAGCATTGAATCTCATGGTCCTGGCTTGCATCACAGGCTCCTCTTTGAACCAATCACTCAGGTCAGGGCGATGGAGACCCTGAGGAGCCACGCCAGGATTATTAGGCCCCGCCTGAGCCAAATGTGCTGAGAATGGGAATGGTCTGGGTTTTCTAAAGGAAAATCAAGGTGTAGTTACCAGAAAGTATTGAGGAAGCTGAAACCACAGGTGTCCATTAAAGGCTTCAACCCCAGACATGTTCTAGCAGTGGCCCCAGGGATGTGGAAGAGACTTCTGTAATTAACTGAGTAGGAGGCTGAGTTAAGGATCCCAAATAGTGTGGAATAGTAGATTCCTAGAAATAAGATCCATGTCAAAGCATCTTAATCACAGTGTTAATATTGTGGAATTGCTTTGTGATATTTCTGTTGAGGTTTAAACAGTTTTAGTAGAAGTTTGATATCATCTTTCAAGAAATAAAATTATATTTCATATTTCTTCCCCTCCTCCCTCCAGAAAACTTGGATGAAACTATTGCTCTTCAGACCAAGAACAAGCTAGAAAAAAATGTTACTGACAATAAAAGCAAACTTTTCCCAGGTATGATTTATTTTACTATTTTTCTACCTTTTAGCACAATCACCCTTTGCATGAGTTCAATAAACATTGATCAACAATTATAGATTTCAAAAGTTTTAAAATCTGAAATCCAACCATAGGATTAAGTAGCTATAACCTTGGCTATTTCGTGGCTAGTCTCAGCATAGAAATCTGATCCCAACGAGCATTGAAAAGAAATGCAGGTCTTCGCTGAAGATTTTTAGGAGATGGCTGGTGGGGAAGGGAGGAGACTGTATCACAAAACTGAGTCATTCTTCCTGAAATTCTCCTTTAGGCATTTTTTTCTCTCCCAAGATCACCATTTCTCCAGAACACTATCCCTGGTCACCTGTCCACTCTCTGCTGCCCCTCCACTCGTTTTCCCCCTCCAAGTCTTCCTCTCTCCTCTGAGACAGTCTGCCCCTAGGCAGTGTGATTTACCCCCTCCTCTTGGTTTTTTCACTCATGCATCTCCACCCATTGCACCACAGAACCAAGCGGTGCAAAGGAGGCTGCTTTGAGGGGGGAAGGAAGGAACAAAAAGGGAAAAGATCACACGTTCATATGCCTAATTTTGTGTCCCTATCACAGAAGTTATGTACATACGTTTGATGGAATATTATATAGCTCTTTAAAATGATGTTTCCAAATAGTTTCTAACAACCTGGAAACATCTTTCTATAATGATGTTAAGGACAAAAGCAAGGAATAAAATTGTACTGCAACTATGAAAAAAAATGACACATCAAAAAATATATACAGACCACAGCACTAGTAGTGGATGTTTTCATAATGAGGTAACAACTGACTTCTTTCTTTCCTCTTTTTTCTATAGTAATAACCCTTTTATTGAAAAAACAAAGCTTATTAGGCTGCTTGATGTTTCCTATTTTATTTACAACAGGGATGCATTATAACTGTTTTCAAGTAGTTAGCTACTTTAAGGTGTATGACATTTTTAATCCAATAGAAGATTCCTAGAAGGAAATACAGTTTTTTTCCACCCTTGTCCCCTCATTTTTTTGAAGTATAATTGATATGGAAATCAGTTATTTTTAAGTGACAAGTGAACAAAGATGACCCCATCCTGACAGCAAGTGTCCAGTTCTCTTCTTTGCATTAGGGTGACCAGGGATAAGGGACTATGAAGAAAGAGACAGAAGAAAAGTCCTGCCATAGCCCCAAATTCTTAGGTGCTACTCCGAGTTATAGAGTGTTCTTCAACAATACAACATCATAAAGAGATTGAACAACTACAGAGTTATTTTACTTTGGAATGAAGATTTAAACTTACTTAGGGACCTGACATGTCCTACTTGATTGCCTACATTGATTATAGTAAGGAAAATAGTCTATGCTCTGACACAGTAGCAGAAGGGAAAGAACACTAAACCAAAACCTGGAAAGGTGGGGGCTTTGGCCCAGCTCTTTTGCTAACTCAGTGCACATGTCTCCCCATTCTGGGCCTTGGTTTCCTCTTCTGTGAAATGGGAGGAGGAAGTTGGACTAGATAATCACTAAGATTCCTTTCAGCTCAAAAAATGATCTGACCTTAAACTGTACCTTTTCAATAAAGTTTATTTCTACATTATGAATTAATTAATAGATAGGAAATAGGGTGATAACAACAGTGCACAATCTGATTACAGCACCGTCAGAGAAAAGTCATGAAGAAACAGATAGTACCAAGGAAGAAGCAGCTAAGATGGAAAAGGAATACGGAACCTTGAAAGATTCCACAAAAGACGATAACCCAAGAGGAAAGACAGATGAGCCAAAAGGTATGGAATTAACAGCTCTAGTTTAGCAATGAAATTGGGGGAGCAAAAATTTTCACAACACACATGCTGATCAAAAATGCAAGCCACACCAAATCTCATAAATCGGCACCATCTGTATAGAAAAGATTCAGCACATTGGTCTCTTTACTTGAATAGCAATCATTTTTAATGGTCTTGTGTCTCCTGGAATGGCAAATTGGTCTTGTCTTCTGATGGTCTCTACTGTCCAATGGACTTTTGTGCTTGGAAAGGAATATTTATGACCATTTGTGCATTGTTTAATGTCTAATTTATAATTTATTAAATAATTTTTCTTTAAACACAATTCACATTCCTCTAAATAATAATATACTACTTATTCAACAAAGTCATCAAAATTTATGGATTTAACAGAGCAAATTTCCTTAATCATTTACAGTGATTGAAATGAGACAAGCACTCTTAGGACCTGATTAAAAATCATAAATCCAATATATCAAATTTCCTTAAATAACCTGAATACCTTAAAAAGCACAAAAGCACACATTAAACTAACCCAATAATTATAAAACTTATGTTTTTATCCTTATTCTTACATATTCCTGTGATCCAATTTCTCTGTGCCTTAGTAAGTCTATGTGATATAAAATTTACTTTTTCCTAGGATTTTAGAGATTTTACTACAGCCTTAAAGAAAAAGACCCTTTGGGGGGCGGAGGTAGTGGTGGTGGGGAGAAAGAAAAAAGAAAAAGGTCCAGGAGGATGCAAGTTCTAAGTTGCTAACCCTTCAATTTTAGGTCAGGATGTGGGATCTGTTTGCACAGTCCAATGGTTCAAAACCCTTTCATTATGACGTGTGCTAGTTACATCATGGAAAATGTATCTACCCTTCAGATAGATATTCTTCTTCTGAAACTCAGTGTCTTTACCCGAAGTTGTGAACAGATGGCTTAAACCTACGTTATTTTTCTGTCATTATGATATATTGACCTCTATGGTATAATTGGAACATTACCTATGTCTTATCAGTGTCTCATTAGTAGGGTCATCTAGAGGATTTATTCCATAGAAACTGGGGGAGCGGGTCAGTGCTCTCTCTTGGGGGCAGGAGAGGTGTGACATTCAGCTCATCTGTCTTCTGAAGAGACACCACTGGGCTCTCTTTTCATTACTTATTACGTATAATTATTAGTGGCAATGAACTGATGGACTTCGTTTTTCCTTTCTGGATGATATGAGACCACAAAAGCTGCTCATGTTTATGGTATAACTCTTAATTTTGAAGAGACTGCTTGGCCTACTTACAGGTTCCTAGTCTCTCCTGCTCATACAGATAGAAACAAGTTCACATTCATACTTGATAATAGATCCTGCTTTACAGTGTCTGTATATTAAGTCGAAAAGAAGCAAACTAGTTATGTATTTAATATCTTCTAACTTTTTAACAGCAAAACAACTACCATTTCCCATTTATATCACAACTACCTTTGTTAAGACTTAATATCAACCTTTTCCATTTATGTAAGATGTTCACCTTGATGATGACGATTATGATTTTATGCTTAAATTGGTATAGTTTGGGCAGCAGGAGCCCTCCCCCCGACCCTGTTCCTCCTTTATCCTTTTAGCACTGTGCCCAATAGTTTGTTTTTTGTTTTGTTTTGTTTTGTTTTTAAAGATTTTACTTATTTAACAGAGAGAGAGAGTACAAGCAGGGGGAGGAGCTGAGGGAGAGGGAGAAGCAGACTCCCCGCTAAGCAGGGAGCCTGATGTGGGACTCAGTCCCAGGACTCTGGGATCATGACCTGAGCCGAAGGCAGTCACTTAACCTAATGAGCCACCCAGGTGCCCCACGCCCAGGAGTTTTTAAAGGATCTTTGCTCTCGGGCAACAACAGGGTATTCTTGACTCACTGAATTTTCTCATCCCAAGACTTAAAATCAATTCCTCTTCGAAGAGTTCTAGTTCCTTTTTGTAGAGAATATAGAGACCTGAACCTGGGTTAAATGGGTTCAAATGAGTAGTAATATGGGCCAAAAGTACTGCTTCTAGTTCAATTATTGGGACTTTTTTGAGACAGGAAAAATACTTTTTTCTTAATATATCAAGTTCATGTTGATTTCTCCTATCTTATGAAGCTTTATATTATTATATTTTTTCTCTAGCACAGATTTCATAGACCATCACAATTTTTTCCTACAACAACATAGCTGACATAGCAACACTAATCATATGTAGTAGCCTGTGTTGAGTAAGGTTACGATGTTGCATCTGGGCTCAGGAGGAAAAAACTTGGAAATGATTAATTAATAATGTTTGTGGGCATAAGAAGGGGGAATTGGTAATATACATGTCATGTTTGCTGACTCTGTAGACCAGTCAGTCACAATGCCTTGATACTTCTCTAGGTCTACTTTGGATGAGTGGTAAACTCCTGAGAATGTTTTTTTTTTTTTTAATTATACTAAAATACATATAACATAAAAATGATCACATTAACCATTTTTAAGTGTACAGTTCAGTGGCATTAATTCCATTCATATTATTGTGTTACCATTGCTACCATCTATTTCCAGAACTCCTTTCATCCTGCAAAACTGAAACCCTATACTCATTAAATAAAGCTCTCCATTCCCCCCCCTTTCCAGCCCCTGGCAACCACCATTCTACATTCTGTCTCTGTGAATCTGCCTATTCTAGATACCTCATATAAGTGAAATCATATAATATGTGACTGGCTTAGTTCATTTAATGTCCTCAAGGTTCATCCATCTTTTAGCGTGTGTCAGACTTTCCTTCCTTTTTCGGGCTGCATAATATTCCATTGCAGTTATATACCACATTCTGTTTATCTACCCATTTGTCTATGGATGCTTAGGTTGCCTCCACCCTTTGGCTATTGTAAATAATGCTGCTATCAATATGGGCATACAAATATCTCCTCAAGACCCTGCACTCAATTTGAGGAGGAATATCCCCAGAAGTGGAATCGCTAGATCATATGTTAATTCTACTTTTAATTTCTTCAGGAGCCACCATACTGTTTTCCATAGTAGCGGCACCTTTTTACATTCCTCCCCAGAATGTGCAAGGGTTCCAATTTCTCCACATCCTCATCAGTACTAACGGATGTGAGGTGGAAGAGAAGTGGTAAACTTTTAAAAGATAGCTAATCAGGAGAAGAGTGGTCCTGTGGCCTGAGATAGAAAGCCAGGAATTGGGCAGCACAGAGCACTGCTGTTTACCCCCACAGAAAACCAGCATGCCTAGGTCATCTCCTCTGGGGGCAACCTATGTGTCATGATTGTATTTCCTGGAAGACAGTAAGCCATCATCTAAGACCTTTGACTTGCAAAGGCAGCATGCTCAGTGCTTAAGACAGCACCTTCTATCACCACTATGCAAATATCCATGGGAATGGATGCTGACAGGTGTCTTTGCTTATTTTAGGAAAACATTGTGTAAAAAAGGAATATGAAAGAGTTGATTCTTGGTAGCCCACTATTCCTGTTTAGGATGTGTTTAGAGACAAATGATGAGGTTAGATTTCTTTTCTCATTAGGAATTCCATCAGATACTAATAGGGAGAGAGGAGAGTAAAACCCCATCCATTTAGTGTTGTTGTTTGCAATGGCTCTCCTGAAACATTAGTAAGAGGGTAGGGATTTGGGGCCAAAATTAGTTCCCTCTCCATTATTTGGAGATTTAATCTACTCATGCTACCCCTGACTTCTATTACTTTGAGATAAGGAAAACTAATTTTAGTACAATTTAGAAAACACCAACCTCAGCTTAAGCCAAGGGCCAACACTTCTTGAAAAATATGTAATCTGCAAAAGGCATATTATGCCATATACCCTTGTACTGACAATTGCTTTGCTTGCACTTTTTTCAGAGGCTGTTTTCTCTGTTATAAAGTCCACTGACACAACATGTATTGTCTCTGGACAGAGAAATAAAAGCATCCATGTGGGTAAAGCAGGGTTTGCTGGGTTTCCTGAGACATTTATTCAGCTATAAATAAACATTTATTCTGATGGCATGCCTGGCATCATGCAAAGGAAGCAGACCCAGTAATATAAGAACTAATGCTTACCTCTGAGGACTCAAGCAAGCTTCAAAATGATTTGAGAATGGTTCTTAACCCATATGTAGGCAAGTGTCACACAAGCTCCATACATGTGCACATATCTCCCTGATTGATGAGTCACAAGTGTGTAGAACAGAGAGAAAGTTGGAGGACATTACAGGGCAGAGCAAAGAATGAGGTAACGGTCCAGCTAACACTGCTTTAAAAGATAATTATAAGCAGAACACATTGTCAGGAATAGCTGTAAAGAGTCTGTTTCGGTCTGGTGATGTGGCGTGATGGCTCCATTGAGCCACAGCAACTATTTATTAACCATGCCAAGCATATGCCGGATCCTGTGAGGAATAGGAATAATAACGGGAATAGGAATAATAATAATACCCTAAATTTATATCACCCTTCAACTTACAGAGCATGTTTCCACAGCTCTCTTTTTAGGTTTAATGTAAAAAAAAAAATCCAATTTAATTACCAATGATGAAAAATGGCATATCCACCTTTGAATATAGTCAAGTTAGACTATTTAAACTCTTATATTCTACAGAATAATCTTTTAAAATACTAATTTCGAATTGGTACAGTCATTTGAATGATTCAGTAATTATTCCTAAATTTAGGGAGATGCCAATGAAATCAAATTTATTCTAATTTCAACTGCATTTATAAAGTTACCTAATTTTTCAAGTAAATTGCTCTCTGGAGACTAAAGAAAAGTACTTTAAAACTTTATTCCATGATCTCAGTGTGGCTCTATTTGCCAGTTCGATGTTTACTCATACACTTCTGCCCTATGAGTCACTGAAAATCTTTTTTTAAACCATCCAAGGGATAAGATAAGCATTATCATACCCATAAACTCATTCCAAAGCTATCCTTTGTCAAGTTTATGGCCAGATAATGGAAATAGGTGAAAAAAGTTATTTCTAAGATA